TCATCAAACAATCCCACGTAAATAATTATATCACAATCTAAATGCTACAACTAATCACAATACAGTCAAATATATGCATATAATTTATAATGAATCTAAAATTCAAATTTGAGCAAGAGGGATCTTGCCTACGAGGCCAAGGGGCCTATGGACGAGACGGTGATTGCCGCTATGGATGCGGTGCGACAGAACTAAAACGGGTGCAGTCGACCGCGGGTCTGAAGTGGGTGACGACGTGGCTGCAGGGGCGGCTCTGTGAGTGGTTGTTTGGTGACGTCGGTAGACTGATGCGCGAGGGTCTGAGCAGGGGTTGAGGAGGCTAGGAGATTCGGAGATGGCTGTTTGATGATGGGAACGACGGACCGGGGCTGGTCGCGAGAGTTTGAGGTAAGGGAGGCGTGGTGAGGGAGGACGTCGCCACCAGAGGGGCAGCGACTGAGGGCAAGCTGGAGGTGAATGAGGGTGGCGGTTAAGGTTGAGAGGTTGGGACGGCGGAGAAGCGAGAGGAGGGGGGGGAGGCGAGGTTAGCGCCGTCGGAGCTTGAGGAGTTGGTAGCGACGGTGGTGGGCAGGAGATGGAGTTAGCTCAGGAGGGGCTCTGGGTGAGGGCTTAGTGGAGGCGGGTGTGGAGTTTGAGGCAGAAGAAGAGGGGAGGCGAGCTTGTGCAGTCGGGGAAAGAGGCGGAGGGCGTCGCTGTGTGCGGGTTGAGGGTGGCAGGCGTCGGTGGCGGCTGCGGCGTTGCTGAGAGAGGAGACGAGGTGGAGCGAAGAAGGTTGGCAGGTTCGTTCGGGACGGCGAGCTGGTGGTTGTACATCGCGTCAGTGGAAGAGAGAAGCTTGGGGCTGAGAGAAGAGCGAGGATTGACGCTGGTGGAGCTCTTTGGTGGTGCGGGTCTATAGCTCAGTGAGAACGTCGAGGAGGTCGGCGAGGCTGAGAAGCAGCGCGCAGGGAGATGGTGAGCCGTGGCTATGCCTGGTCGGCGGGTCGAGGTGGTGAGGGAGGTGATGTGCAACATTCCTAAGGGTGGTGGAGGCTGGTCATTGGTAGGTGAGTAGGTGAAGGGTGTGAGGGGCAACAAGGGGGTCTGGAGGCGGAGGTTGGGGCCTTGATTTAATTGAAAAGAGAGAGAGATGAGAGAGAGAAGAGAGAGAGAGAGAGAGAGACGAGACGAGAGAGAGAGACGAGAGGAGAGAGAGAGGAGAAGAGAGAGAGACAGAAAATGAGAGTGAGAGAGATATCTGAGCGTGGGGGATTTTTGAGGAGGTGAGAGAGAATCTCGTAGGGGAAGAGAGCGAGAGAGTGAGGGTGAGCGTGAGTTTTGAGGGAATCAGGGGGGAAACATGAGGGACGAGATTTGCATGAGTTGGGGAGGGTTTTAGGGGGGTGGGGGTAAGGGGGAGAGAGATGGTTTACAGGTGAGAGACGAAAACACAGGGAAAAATACCCCTTTAAAAAATAATTTAATATTTAAAATACCAAAAAATTTATTCAAATCAATATTAAAAATTTGTGGTCAAAATAATATTAACAATAACTATAATGAATAATTAAATATTAATTAAAAAACTTTTATCGAAACAATTAAATTTATAATTAGTAAAACCATTAAAATAATATAAAACCGTATTTTTAAATAATAGAAAATTCTAGAAAAATTAGGGAAAATAAAAATGCTCTTTTTAAAATAAGATTTTAATATTTAAATACAAGAAAATTTTTAAACTCGTATTAGAAATTTACGGTCATTACACTCATCGAATGTGACATCTCTTTGTTAATGATTATCTTTTTGTCATGTGGATCCCATAACTTAAAGTCTTTAACATCTTCTCTAAAGCCCACAAAGACTTTTTTTTCGCTCTCGGATTTAATTTTCCATCATTAACATGATAATAAGCTGGACATCTAAATATCCGAAGCGACTCATAGTCACTAGCCATCGAACCAGACCAACGCTCCATAGGAATTTTCTCCTGTATCGCAGTACACGATAACCTATTTACGAGATGACTCGCATAAACTAACGTCTCGGCCTAAAAAGATCTAGACAATCCACTCTGTGTCATCATACATCACACATTCTCCAGAAATGTACGGTTTAATCTCTCAGCTATCCCATTCTATTACGGTATCTCTCGAACTGTGAAGTGTTGTCTAATGCTGTGATACCAGCAAAACTGTAAAAATAGATCACTCTTATACTCTCCACCATTATCCGAATGAAGAGTCTTTACCTTTCTACCTGTCTGCAGCTCCACTTTCTTCTTTCACTCCACAAAATATCCAGAACCTCATGTTTATGCCTCATGTATATACCCAATTTCTCCTGGAATTGTCATCAATGAAAGTAATAAAATAGTTGGCCCCACCAAGTGATGTGTACTTAAAACGGCCCCAAATATCTGTGTGAATGTAATCTAATATACCTTAGGTATTGTGAATAGCGGTGTCGAACTTTACTTTGGTCTTCTTCCTAAGTACATAATACTCACACAACTTTATCTTACAGGTCTTCGCACCTTTCAATAGTTCCTATTTGGCCAATGTCTGTAGGGACTTATCATCAGTATGTCTAAGTCTCATATATCATAAGGTAGTTGTGTCCTTCTCTGTAGTGATAAAAGCTGTCAGGCCCCTTGTAACTGTCTTACCCTTTAAGTAGTATATGTTATTTTTCCTGACACCTTGCATCACCACCATAGAACACTTTGTGACCTTCACAGTAGCATCCTCTAAGATCACTTGATAACCTGCTACCTCCAAAGTTCTAAAAAAAATATTCTTCGTCAACTGCGGCACAAACCTTGTTTTTTTCAACTCCCTAGTCATCCTGTCATGTATCCTGATCCGGACTGTACCAATTCTACCAATGGGGCATACATGATCATTACTCATAAGCATGACATCTCCTCTTTCTAGCTCTTCAAAGCTGGAGAACCAATCCCTCCTAGGACAAATATGAAATGTAGCTCCCAAATCAAACATCTACTCCGTAGAGTCGGCATAGCAAACTGACGGTAGTGTAGAGCATGAATAGCCTGAAGAATCAGAACCTGAATGGTCACTAACAGCTTTAGCAACATTCACCTCTGAATCCTATATAGCGTTTCCCTTGTTCTTCCCGGCTTTATCCTTCAACTTTGGGCACTCGTTCTTCTAATGTCCCTTTTCTTTACAAAAGGCAGATTAATTTCTATCAACACTCTTATGGTCACCTCTATTCTTTGACTTTGAACAGTTGAGCTGGCGGCGGTTTGGACTACGGTCTCGAACTGCTAATGCATCTCCTGATGCCTTTTCAGAGGGTTCACCATCACTCTTTCTCAACCCGTAATTCACCAACGCCGAGGTCACCTTCTTGTAACGAACAGTAGTTTTTCCATTGATCATAGTGAGAACAAATGTATCATAATCATCCTCCGGTAACGAACACAATAGTAGCATCGCATTGCCTTCATCCTCAACCATGATATTCACATTGGTCATATCCGAAAGCAACTTTATGAAGTTGTTAACATACACCTTAATGGAAACTCCTCTCTTCATCTTGAATTGGTAAAACCTCTTTTTCAAGTAAAGTCGATTCTCAATGTTCTTCATAAGATACTTTTCATTGAGTGTTTCCCATAATCTCTTCGCCGACGTCTCGTTCATCACATCATAAATGAGATACGGCGTCAAGCATGACCGAATAACTCCACAAGCTTTATTGTTCATCTTCTTCCAAACCTTATCCTCTATGTCTTCAGGTTTCTCTTGTAACTCAAGAGTCTCCTTCAAATTCTGTGCATCCAACGCATCCATCACCTAGCACCTCTACAAACTGAAATTAATCTTGCCATTAAACTTCGGAACATTAATCTTAGTGTTGTTGATGCTCAGACTCTGTATCGCCTACGTAAGAGACGATCTCGATGTGCTTGCTTCACCCATGTTGACGATCTAACTCTTCAAATAAGAATCCTTCAGCGCTTGCTTCACCCATGTTGACGATCTAACTCTTCAAATAAGAATCCTTCAGCGAATCCTTCGAACAAGCCTCAAGCCAAACCCGAAGCTCTCATACCACTTGTTGTGCGTAGTGGAACTCGAAACACACGAAAAAAGAGCACAAACAAGAACGAAATAGATCACAACCAATAAGTAAAATACAATCACCATAGTAAGACAAACGAATTTTACGTGGTTCGACAAGTTGCCTATGTCCACGGGGCAAGGAGGGAGGAGTTTTACTATTAGAGATAAAGAGAATTACAAATAGGGTTACACATCTCACCAAAAACCCTCAAACAAAACTCTCTAGATCTCTCACAAATTCTCCTACAAAGGATGCACAACACTCTCTCAAAGGCTGCTCAAAAACATCATTTCTTAACCCTAATTAATCAGGTTTAGGGTTATATATCAGCTTATAATGAAACGGGTCTGAAATCCAAACCCAACTCAAAACCCGACTGACGGTTGACCGCACGCAACGACAGAAACCTAAAATGATTACAGGGTTTCTACGGTCGATCGCAGTGGTCGACCGAACCAAATCCAGAGACCCAAAATCCTACAGGATCCCTGGCAGTCGACCGTCCTAACTCCAGAAACCTGCTTCGATATTGTGCACGTTTCCGGTCGACCGCTGAAGTCCTCGCGGTCGACCGGCTAGTTTCCAGACTGTTTTTCTTGAACTTCTTCAACAATGTTCGCCAATCCTACACAGGCCCTAGTAGTTCAAATAAGCCAGGGGCATCCGAAGCTTGCACACCCAAATCTCAGAGGGTTCCATCTAAAGGAGTAGCAGCACCCAATAGCTCAAGAACCAAACATGCAAAAAGATAGCTACGGTAGTTAAGCAGTCTGCAGTAAAAGTGAAAGAACAGACCTAGTCTGCAATCAAAGAGCACCAAACCACCAAAGGGTGTTATTAAGTGAGGGGCTCTAATCATTAAGCTTCTGATGAAATAAATCTTTACTTAAATAGTATTCATGTTCATTTTTTATATTGTGTAGGTATCCTGGCAGTACTAATGTGAAGAACAATGCCATGGCTGCTAACATTGCTCAAGAAGATCAAGCAATAAAGAAGCAAAAACTTGATGGTGGTAGATCAAGACGGGTGGCTGTTTTCGTCATTGCAATGAACATTCCTTTTAATATTTTTTCATTTAAGCTTCTTCTTGATGAAAATCTCATTATTCGTTCACTATTACCAGATACTCAATGTGAATACTAGAGTACTCCTTCACAAGTCAAAACCAGATCCAGGTTGTGGCACAAATGTATTTGCTTCACACAAGGTATTGTTTATAGGGTTTTTTATTTCTAGGCTCATTTGTTTACTCATCTTTACCTCTAAGCCCAATAACTATTCTTTGTATTCTTAAACCCAAGTTTCTTT